CCATTTAAAATCTGCAAACAGTTTATACTTTATTATCAAAATAAGTTTTGGCTCCAAGAGATGCTTTTGAGGAAAAAAAAGCACAAATGCTTTAACTAAATATATTTGCCATATTGTTAACTCAGCGCCTCTCATTACAGCAAAATGCATTGGCCCATCAAAATCTAAGACACTGAAATGTGCTCATAACCTACGTGCCATTTCCAATTGAGTTATTTGATATTTTGAATACATTATCTGATTTAATCATCCTTCTTGTTGCAGTGATAATTTTCAAAGAGAATATTTTCATGAAAATAAGCCAAACTGACTTTTGATCTGTCGCTTAATGCCTGATACTGCATGAAAAGATTTTTATCCTTCAATTTCTAATGTATAACCAAAAGAAAATCTTGAGGTGTTTACATCTTCCTAACAAAAAAGAAAGCTTAATTCTCTGTATCCTCACCACTACTTTCACAACAATTTTTAAAGTGTCTCCTTAAGGCTCCTGGCCATGTGGACATTCCTAACCCAAGTCACCATACTTCACTCAGTCCAGAGAGTGAATATTCCAGAATCATGGAGTACAGTACAGAAAAGCCCCTTTGGCCCAATGAGTCTGTACCGCCAAAAATACACCACTACCTACACTAGACCCACTTACCCACACTAGGCCCACAGCCTTGAAAACTAACAGATTACAATCAAGAATGCTATCATGGCTGGCTTCAAGCCTGACTTCATGAAATATCCACGAGAAATCACCGAATAGGGATCTGAGCAGCAGCTCAATTATCTTGCATGCTCCCTCTCTTTTCTTTAAACCCTCACTCCCCACATCATCCAGGTCAAATGCAGCACGTTTACCTGTTTCTTGATTAGTAAAGGGATCAAGGGCTTCGGAAAGAAGGCAGGAGAATGAGGTTGAGAAACATAACAGCCATGATATGTTGAGAATAAGGTCATTGGACCTGAAATGTTAAGTCTGATTTCTCTCCACAGATGCTGCCTGACCTGCTGAGATTTTCCAGCAACTTCTGTTTTTGTTTCAGGTTTCAAGCATCTGCTGTTCTTTGTTTAGAAGTTTATGCAGTGTGGAAGACAGAAGACTAGTCTGGAGAACACAGGTAACAAAAACAATGAAAAGATTAAGTATTATATTTACAGATTATGATGTAGGTTACAAATAACTGCGCTCTTGAGCTTTTTTGTTCAGCTTCTACCCAACTTGATCTCCTAGGCCCTCGCTATGTTCGGCAACTCTACAAATGCACTCTTTCCAAAGAAAAAGTCTAATATTTCCTATATTAGTTTATAGTAACACTGTAATCAATGGTGCTGGTATTTTTAAAAGTAAAACATGGCACATTGCATAGAATCTTGATCTATAGCACAGGAACAGATCATTTGGCTCAGGTGACCTATGCCATTGTTTGTGTTACAAGTAAACCTCCTTCCGCTTACTTCAACTTAACCCCATTAGCAGAATGCTGTATTGTTTTCTTCCTCACGTGGATATCTAACCTTCCCTAAAATGTCATTATAAAACATAGTGATTTTTTTTTTAAGGAAACATGTTCAGCAATTTGATTAATTTCCATTGGATTTTACACCAACATCAAGATATTAAATAAGAACATAAGAACTAGGAGGAGTAGGCCATCTGGCTCCTCGAGCCTGCCCCGCCATTTAATAAGATCACGGCTGATCTTTGAGGCTCAGCTCCACTTACCCGCCCACTCACCATAACCCTTAATTCCTTTATTGTTCAAAAATTTATCTAGCCTTGCCTTAAAAACATTCAGCGAGGTAGCTTCAACCACCTCACTGGGCAGGGAATTCCACAGATTCACAACCCTTTGGGTGAAGGACAACGCATCAAGGATTTTAATTTTACAGAGTTAGAAGAAAATCTACGGGCTCATTCAAATGAAAATAATATTTGTCAATGGGAAAGATAAAGCTCTATTGCACACGCAGGGCCTTCCTGCTTCCTTGAATCTTAGCTTCCACAAACTCTAGGACAGTGCAACATTACAACAGAGGCTAGAACAGCAGAGAGCCAGCCAAGTTTTAAATCTTAATTGGCGCAGGTCTCTAAAAGCGATGCAATCCTTCCTCAATTCCCACAGCACAGAAGCAGTACAATTTCAAAACTTCTGTGCTCAAGCAGCTTACTGTGTGAACAGTCAAATGGCAAGGAACGAGATTTTGTATGGCATGACAAATCACATGCACCCAGACTCTGGGTAAAATCACCAGGGAGGAAAACAACAGAAGGGGATGTGTAGAATAAAACTTTAAAATAATGGAGACAGAATGACTTATAGACACAGGGGAGAAGGAGATTAGAAGAATCTCCCCTTCCTCAAGCCATTATCAACAACTGAACATGCCACAAAACAAGACACAAAGCAGATAGTGCCCAGTGCAGATCTGATTAAACATTAATAAGGCATTTTAAAAAATACATAAAGCCCTCTGGTGAGCATTTTAAGAATGTAGGGCACAAAGGGATTCTGTATCATCCAATAAAAGAAAGTGACAGCAAGCATGCAGAGATTTTTGTGAATCTTTATTCCAAATTTATATTAAAATTCGTGCTCATCTAAAAAGGGAAAGAAAATGAACCCAGGTCACCTTGTAAAAATGTGAAGCTCAATGATTTATGCATGTTCAAATGAATATGTATGTACAAGGACACCTGGTTCAGGATACTCCAGGAATATGCTGAGAAACAGAAAACAGGGTTGCAGAGTTGAAATTCAGTTCTAGTTTATTCTTTAACTACCTAGGGAAAACCACTCCATCAATACATTCAATTAATTGATCAGTAATAATAATTAACAACTTGAACCTAGGTAATTGAAATTCCTGCGCACAAAACATTTCACATTGCAAACACTAAACAAAAACGTTAGTCACAGGGTCATATAGCATAGAAATAGACTCTTCAGTCTGCCATGTCTAAGCCAACAAACAAAAAAACCAAGCTACACTCATCCCACTTACCTGTACTTGGTCCATAGCCTACTACACCTTGGCATTTTAAGTTCTCATCAGATGCTCCTCAAATGTTGCATGACTACCTACCATCACCACCTCTCAGGCAGCATGTCCCATAGTTCTACCACACTCTGGGTGAAAGATATTTTTCTTAGGTATCCTCTAAACCACTTACTCTGCACCTTAAACTTGTGCCCTGTGGTCTTCGTCTGCCATGGGGAGAAGTTTGTCATGATCTACTCTGTCTATGCCTCTCACAACTTTGTATACCTTAATCAGATCCTCCCCTCAGCCTCATCTAGTCTAAGGAAAACAGTCTATCCAGTTTCATCCTCATTCATCCCAAGCAGTCTCTCCTCTGCACCTCTCTAAATTCAACCACATCTTTCCAATATTATGGTGACCATAATTGCACAAAGTATTTACGGTAGCCAACCAATGTTTTGCAAAGTTGTAACAAGACTTCCTTGCTCCTATATTCTATACCATGTCTAAAGAAGGAAAGCATCCCATATGCTTTCTTCACCACCTTGGCTACCTGTGCTGACACCTTCAGGATCTATGAACTTGTACACCAAGGTCCCTATGTTCCTCAGTATTACCTAGGGACTTACTATTCATTGTGTATGTCCTTCTCTTTTTTTGACCTACTCATCACCTTTCACTTATCAGGATTAAATTTCATCTGCCAGAGCTCTGCCAATTTACCAGCTGATCAATATCAGACTATACCTTGAGAGCATCCTCCTCACTATTAACACCAATTTTCATCTCATCTGCAAACTTACTAATTACACATTCTATATTCACATTGGGGTCATTAACGTACAAAACAAATAGCAAAGGTCTGAGCATCAATCCTTGTAGTACACCCTGGTCACAGGCTTCCAATCACAAAGACAACCCTCCACCATCACTCTTCGCCTCCTATTTGCAAGTTACGCTTTCCAATTTGTATTGTTCAAGCTTCTATCTTGATGATAGAAAAATCAGGAAGCCAAGCCTGCAAAGCATTAATTTGACCAAAACAGAAATCCCAACCTTTCCTTGAGCCTGAGCCAGCCAACATGAGCTCAGAGGTTTAGGCATTAGTTATTACCAGGTAAAACTTAAATATTCATGAAAATATACAGAATACTGCTAACTTTCAACAAGTGGCCAAGGGTTCAGGACTGACTATTGTACCAGTCAGGAGAATAATCCCGGGTAATCACCCATGATCTGATCAATTGGTGGAGTAGGCTCAAAGGACCAAACAGCTTATTATCTATATTCCTATGCCAATGTAACAGTTAACTGACACATACTCACCTCATCCTCCCCATTAATATACCCAAATAAAGAAAAACTTTGAAAAAAAGAGGGAAAAAAAAATCAAGAAATCTAAAAGGCAGACACTTAGCAATGCAGACGCTCATTATATCTTGGTACTTGGTACTTATGCCTCAATGTTCACAGTTTCTCTCCTCCCTTTCTCAGCAGCTTAAGCAGTATTTTTTACCCTGCTCTGAAGGGGTCATATCTTTCCTCCTTGGCACTAATACTATGGTCTTCAAAGTTAGTCCTCTGTTTTCTTTACAAATGTAACCGATTCTCCTCCCTGTTTAGTCTTCTCCATCTACGCAGCTTTTCATCCCACCAATGCATGAAACACCCAGCAGTCACTGAAAGTGTTCATACCACATTGCTCTGTGACTAATTCCACGGACAATTTCATTTTTAATTTTCCTTCCTTGCTAAAGGAACTGCTAGCTATGCCAGGGGATTTGAAGACAACTGTACTGGTCTCCTCTGGCTCCCAGCACACATCAAGCTCGGAATATTCTGATCTCCCTGTTCAGCACCGCACAACGTCTCAAAGTTCTTCACTTTATCAGCTGATTATCCAATCCTGCTGCTGAATACAGCAATATCACGATGGAACACAAGGTTTTCATGCTGATTCAAGAAAATGGGTGATTAATTAAGTCCTGAAATCTGCTTCAATGACAAATTAAAAGTGTTATACACACCGTGTTGTACTGTTTCAAAAAGTCTGCTGCGTTCTCCTCTGCATTTCCGCCAATCTCTCCAATGAGAATAATGCCTTCTGTTTTCGGGTCCTTCAGGAAGACATCAAGGCAATCAATGAAGTCCGTTCCATTGAAAGGATCTCCACCAATACCTAGGATTTAAATCACCAAATTAGAGTGCATGTCTTCTTTATGAACCAAAAATGTTCAATAATATTTCGTTGCTTGTTCAGTTTAGAGAAAAAAAACCCTCCAGATTTGCTTCTTCCCCAAGTTGTCAGTCAAACCCATCCATTTCTTGAAACAAAGAAAACAAAGAACTGTAGATGCTGGAAATCAGAAACAAAAGCAGAAGTTGCTGGAAAAACTCAGCACGCCTGGCCGCATCTGTGGAGAGAAAACAGAGTTAATGTTTCAGGCCCACTGACTGTTCTATAGAAGGGTTCTGAAGCCTTTACTCTCCACAGGGGCTGCCAGACCTGCTACATTTTTTCAGTAATTTCTGTTTCTGGTTCCATCCTTTTCTTTAATATTCTGCACTCACTGTCCGAATTTGAAGTTCACAGGGCTCAGAATTTTTTTTTTTTAAATTATGTCACAAGTCACGATAGATTCCGATTGATGGTCGAAACAGTAGTTGCATGATCAAATAGTTCTTGCCAATGCTGATGGAGTTGCAAGGATGAAGACTACCTTAACCAAGAAAGCAGAGCAGTAATCATCGTCCCAATAGCACAACAATTAGCCAATCACTCTTCAGCATGCCGTAACATATATGCAACCAACTGCAGGAGTATTTAGACCAGGCATTTTGGGGAATTAAAACATCTGGATTTCCTTTTCCAGCCCAAATGAAGGTGAGTGGGGAGCAGCAGTGGTGTCAAGGATAGGTATTAAATACAGGAACAATTAAGTTAAAGTAATATCCTAAAACAGATTTTATCAGATTTGGATCATCTTTTCATCCACTTGGACATTCATGCTGAATACTACAACGCAGAGTGCTATTGCCCAATTAAATCAAGCAACTGCAAATATTAATTTTCAATACTATGTCTGCCAAGTTCTGAAACACTACCTTAATTCTGAGAAAATGTGCCTCTGGACTGCATAATTAATGTGGACCATACTTCCTTTCTAGTGCTGTGAACGTTGTATGTTAAGGGGCAAGAAAGGCTCAAAAAAGATCATGTAACGCACAATGACACAGACTCCAAAAGTGGCAGATGATAAATCAGTGGCAGTGTTTGCATTGCTGTTTTATTATACACAGGTCGTGTGCTGCTGGCAGCTATTCTTGTGGAAAGCTGTGGGACAGTCATGGCCATGCCTAGAAATACTTGCAACTTTCTTTAAGCCTGCTTAGAAAAACAAACACAAACAAGCTGCAAATCATAAAATTGTAGCATAATTTGAATCAACACACCTGCTGTATCATAACAGTGGGAACTCCATGAGAGTATGACAATAATTGTACTGTTTCAACACAGATTTCTTGGCATAACTGCACTTGTAGCAACACGCACAGCATATGAAACAGGTTCAACTCTGGCATGAAATCTTGTGACTTACCAACACAGAGAGACTGGCCCAGGCCAACCTGTGTCGTCTGGTGAACTGCTTCATACGTTAATGTACCAGATCGTGAAACAATACCTAAAAATAAATATACTTATTTACTGAAAGCATGAAAAGTCTCCAATGAAGTAGGTGAATGGTTGCAATGGTTTAAAGATGCCATAACTCCCGTTATGTTGCCCATTTCAATTATCTTGGCTCAATGAATTTATCCAATGTGATTTGTCACATAGCATGAACAGTTTAGGTTTCAATCCCTGTTAGATTGTACAAGAACAGGTGGACACCAGTTCTTGCTAAGGATTTAAAAGTTGTAGCCTTAAGTGTGATTCCATACCAACATGGTTAACTCTTGAATGTTCCTTGAAGACGGCAAGGGGTATGTCAAACAAATGTGTGCATTGAAATATGCTGCCAAGCCTGTGCATTAAAAGAAAAGCTGTAAGGTGACTTTCCCTTCCCTCTTCTGAAGGTGCTGATTCATGTTGGTGTGCAGCTCCGTGGGGCTCAGACATTTAGGCCTGAATTTTCGTGCTCCTGTTGGATACTCCTCAAATGTGAAGTCCATTAAAAAAAATGATGGAAGAACTGCAGATGTTGGAAATCAGGAACAAAAACAGAAATTGCTGGGAAAATTCAGCAGGTCTGGCAGCATCTGTGGACAGAAAGCAGAGTTAATGTTTCGGGTTGACTTCGATTTCTCTCCACGGATGCTGCCAGACCTGCCAAGTGTTTCCACCAATTTCTGTTTTTGTGATGTCCATAAAGTTGGCCCTGACCTCCCAATTTTAGGTCGGCACAATGGTGGGGAGGGTTGCTGTGAAAAAAAAGTCACAGCAAGCAACAAGAAGTGTGAGGTCGGAGGTGGGCAATTTCAGCAAAATCATAAGGCTCTCAGAAAGGTCCATTTGAAAGGTAGGAAGTCTATAGTGCAGTTCCTGTGTTCTGGACGAGACATCAAACGCAGTCAGGTGAGTGCCAACTCTGCAAATGTTGCCCAATAGTTAGCTAATCCTGCAACAGATGGCCAAAAATGGGCTCTGCCCAGGAATAAAAACAGCAATGCTGCTGTCTCTTCACAGTTCACTGTACTGAAGCACTTGGAGTGGAGTCACAAGACACAGCACAGAGATGGCCTCATCTTCGGTCAACATCACTAAATGGTAAAGACATTCTGCAGTACTGTAGCTAACTTTTATGCCTCAATGATTTAAGTACAGTGCCACGTTCCTCGTCCCATCCATCTATCTGGCCATGGCACTGTCATCTTCAACTTGCCGGCCTCTTCAGTGAGTTATGTTATGCATAAACAATGCACCACAACTATTCTTATTTGGGTGTAATGCAGAGCTCCACCCAAGTGATCGTTGCACCTGAAGCATATTTTTATATGTTAAAGTCTGCTAGATTATATTCCCTGTACCGCATGGGCTGCTGTTGTAGTTGCAACCTGCTTCACTTTGAGGGTTGCTAAAAGGTGTAATTATCCAAGGTTTCAAAAAGTACCTTTTGTTCCCTAGAAACCAACCACAGATCTGTGTAGTGGATGAAAAGCTGAGTATGAAGGAGTCATGGCAACTACTAGGGAGGCTTGTACAGAGTTGGAGGAAAACCTTGTCGTGGTCACAAGCTACTTGGGGACATGGAAGAATGAGGGGAGGGACTTTCGAGTGACAAAGATGTCTGAATGCTGGTTTGGAACCTTTGCGGTGACATGGGATTCAGTCAATTAGACAGAGACTCCTGGTCACTATGAAACAACACAGCCTAAAGCTAATCAACTATGGCAGCCACCTTGAGCTGAACACAATCCGGTCTTCAAATTAAGACAACAAACATTTTGGAGTCAGAGCAGAAAATTAAACAAATACTTTCCCGATTTAACCTAGGGCACAAGGTTCAACTGTGGCACATCAGTCCTTTGAGTGAATATTCTAATTCAGTAAAGACTAAGAATCTTGGAATCTTCAAACGACTAGGAATTTTGAGGAATTGAAGATAGATAAGTTCCCTGGGCCTGATGGGATTTATCCCAGGATTCTATGGGAAG